TAACAATTAATAGCATGAGAAGCATTATTTTAAATTTCATGAGCAAAGAAAAAGCCTTTGATCTTATTTTCTCTTGCTTCTGCAAATAATATCCAAACATATAAGTTGCATCTACCTACAGAAGATTCTTGGTTTATAGCCATGGTTGCTATGCTCAAATTTAGTAAGTTTTCACAGAATTCTGCAGAACAAGTAAATATAATTATAGCTAGGAAAAAGGACAACATCTATAAACATACCAGGAGGCCTGGGGAAAGGTTTGTATGCATAAAATGTTGCTTGCTTTTAAACAATTATTTCCATTGATCCACTAAAATATATTGTTTCTCCCTGCCAACCTCTCCTCAAAGCATATATTCATGTACTTCAAAGCCAGAACTGCCTGTCAGGTCTGATCACCACTGCTGCACTTCCCAGAAAATGTTACCTGGTTATGCTTACAGTAAGACTATGCCGTTTTTGAGTTTCCAGGGTCTTACATAAAGAAGAAAACTTACAAAAATACATGTTCCCTGACTTTTAGCTGAGCTGGTAACTTTGCCTTTGGCATTGCAGCTGCTGCATTTGATGGCTTTTCTCTGGTTCTCTATACAAGGGATATCTGAAAATGCCTCACCGTTTTACAGTGAGTCTTGAGCACAGAACTGAAACTTCTGGATTCAGGTAATGAATGGTGAGCTTTCAACAGCGTAAAAATGCACCTTTCTTACTTCTGACTGCCTGGAAGAAAACTTGAACACTCAAGTACCAGAAAAACAAAACAAAACAACAAGCCAGCAAGCAATCTTACTAAATTCCCCCATTTCTAGACCAGTTTCACATCTGGAGGCCTTGAGTCAGGATTTCAAAGTGCCCATGTGCTGCAGTCTTCAGCATTTGACAGACCCTCCCTGCAGAACACCCCAGCACGCTCTTAGGGATGAAGCAGGGCAAAGCGGGAGTTCTGAGAGGGTGGCACTACACGGCAGAACATGGCAGAACACGGCAGCTGGCATCCTTCAACTCTCTCCATTTCTCAGAGACACCCCAGATTTCTCCCTAAAAGCCTGCTTCCCTTACTGACAGCGCTCTGCAGCTCCTGCCGGCAGGAATATACCAGAGACTTCGGCAGCAGCGCTGTGAAATCTTGCAGCGCTGTTTGGTGGGGAGCCTTCCCCTCCCGGCACGGAGGGAGGAACACGAGGCCGAGCCAAGGCAGGCTGTAATTGCTGTCCCAGCCCTGCGAGTGACAGACACATGGCCGTGCCCACGCAGCACACGCCACGGACACTGCATCCCTCACAGCCCTCCCCGGCTCCGCTCAAACAAGCACAGCCCCGGGCAAGGCGAGCAGAAAGGGCCCTCGTAATTGTCATTTATCAATATTCATAGAGAACCTGCCTTAACCTCTGTTGTGCGCGCTCAGGGGGAAAAAAAAAAGAAATAAAAAATAGAAACACAGAATGAAACGCAACCAAAATAAAAAATAAAATGAAATAATCACCTCCCTGCTCATTACCGCAGGGGATTTCCTCTCAATGTCACCACTGCCCCGCGCAGTAATTGGCATTATCTGTTATCTCTGAAGCCATAATAAGGTTTGCCACGGGGCATTTTCTGTAATCATATTTTTATTTGTCAGCTCGCGAGCCGCAGACGGCGGAGCGGAGCCGGGCCAGGCCGCGGGCGCGCGGCGGGGCAGGGGCCGCGCGGCGCCAATGGCGGCTCGCGCCGGTGATGTCACGGCCAGCCAATGAGGCGGCCGGCAGCCCGCCCCGCCCGGCGCTGCAGCATTCCCCACAGACACAGGGAGCGGGCTCTTCCCGGGGAAACCGAGCGGGAGGGAGAGCGCCTGGCACCCCGCCCCGGAGGCGCTCACACACGGACCCCCGCAGGGAACACAGCCGGGCACGCAAGCAGCAGAGAGGGGCTGAATGACCCGCATTCGAAAGGGGCTGCTGGTTCGGGGTACCCGAGGTACCCGAAAGGCACAGAATGTGGGAGAGCAGACACCCAGTGCGAGGTGAATGGCAGCTTAGGCAAACCCATCGGTTATGTCCAAAGAGAACCTCCCAATGGAGATTCTGGGATGGCCAATCTGGGATGGCCTCACATGGACGTCCGGGGAAGCTCAGGCTCTGTGCCATGCATTCCCTGCTCGGCGCGGCCGCTCCAGGCACTGCGGCGCGGTGCGGAGCCCGGGAGCGCAGGGAAGGGCTGGGAGGAGAAGCAGCAATGCCGCATCACGGAGCCAGGCGCTTGCCAGCTCGGGGAAGGCAGCGAGGTAGCACAGATGCCATGTGATGTCCCTGCGCGGTTCCACTCGTGCCCCTGGGTCCCTGGCGTGGCACCGTGCCATGTCCACACAAATGTCCTCAGAGAACCCGACAGTGCCTTACCCATGAGCGTTCCCCCATGGCCAAGCTGCACCACAAAACCCTGTAAGTGACTGCACCACAGAGTGAAACTCACCAAATATTGCCCCACTGCTTCCAGTAAATAAAGTAAGAACAGGAAGCACATTTTTAAAATAAAAAACAGACACAAGCTCCACACCTATTCTGCTTCCTTTTCTCAGCTGCTTGTTTGAAAATACCTCTCAGACAAAGGTGATCTCTCCACACAGTAGCAGCAGAAGCTTTTTACTGATGGGAGGGGGACTGGGGAATCTTTTCTGAATCTTTGGTTCAGGAATACTGGTGTATCAATGCATTCAGTGAATGCTGAATGTGGTTACATGCTGCTGTTAAAGTAAGCTACAGGTATTTCCCAGTGTTTTGGGATGTACAGGAAGAAGATGGGACTATTATATGGGTATGGGGACACCAGGCTATCAATCTATTCTGCCAGTAGGCTGGAGGCACCCACATTTAGTCATTAACCAAAGCAGAAGCTTTCATTTTTCAATGTGGTCATAACTGGATAACCTGGCTGATGAGATGATTTGTCATTTCACTGCCCCACGACAGGACAAGGTCAGGCTTCATTGCTTAGAATTAAGTTTTACACTCACATATATATTTATGCATGCTCTGATTTTCTGATAACTGTCCAGAATATAGCACAGAATAGAACACAGACCACACAGAGTGACCTGGAGGCAGAGCTTATGATTTACTGCTAACTTAGCCAGCACTAGATGCTTGTCAGGTGGGAGTTAGCAAGGAATGGGATTTACTGTCCAACGAGACTACTGCCCACAATCCAGTATGTTTAACAGAGGAAAATGGATTCCTCAAGATAGACATGCATCTGCCTAGAAAATATCACAGAGTATTAAACCTACAGAGGTGCTAGTCTGTCTATCTGTCTGTCTGATGGCCTCACCATGATCCTCAGTTTATTAAAGTCTCCCAGATCCAGAGGGATTCACAACAAGTCCAAAGGACTAGCAGGTATGTGCATGTTTTAGTAGGAGCTTCTCTCCCAACCGAGATTCTGATTTCTCTGGAATATTCATTTGGAAGCGTAAATAATTTCTCTTCAGCTGCACTTAAACATTTTTGAGTGGTGTTGGATTGGATTCCTTAAGTATTAAGCCAAGTAGGGAACAGAAACATGGATATATTCAATCCACCAGTGGTTACACTGCCCAGTGTACGTAAAAAATAACAGGTCTACAACCTGCCAAGGCTCATGCTGGTTCTAAGGAGGTTGTGATCACTCAGTGTAGTTGAATAGCAGGGAGGAAAAACTGGAATTCACAGAATGAAACTGGTCAGAGGTCACTGCCAACAGAGAAAACTTAGATCCTCTAGTTAGGGCATACAACCTGCTCTTGGCTTCTCTGGGAATTTCTCTGACTATTGTAACCCTTCCTGTGTCAGGCAGGCATTGTCCTCAGGACCTTCTCACTCAGATTCACCACCTTTGAACTGCCTCTTCTGCTAAGAGTATGCTGCTGTATATATTCATATACAGTATACTCTTCTTAATATATCCTCAAGAAAGGCTGTTCTTTCCCTCTTCATTTATTAGAAATATGTTCTCCTACAGATCACTGTTTTCTGCTGAAATGACTCAGAGATGTAGGGGGAGGGGGCTAGAAGACCAAGTTTAAATATTTAAACATCCATTTTCACTGTGGCCATCTGGTTTGTGACTTTTCAGCACAGAACTGGGGGTACAGAAAATCCCTGCATGGCTACTGAGAAGTAAGCACACAGTGATTATGCAAATCCAGCTACTGCAGTACCTCTGAGTGGCCCTTGGCCTCCTGGAGTGGGGGATCTGTGGCTGGCTGTGGCTTTGGAGAAGCAGCCATGCAGACATAAAATGTAAATGTTCTCCCCCAGCCAATCCAAATGCAAGGAGCTGCATTTGTGAGCAATGAGCAGGCAGTTATGGGTCAGTAGCTGTACAGAAACTCTTGTGCTCAGACTGATTGCAACAACTTGATTTCAGTATAATTTAAATTATCTCAACTTGCTGAAGATGAAAGAGAAACTGGTCCAATATAAAACAGTACCTGAAAGCACAGGTTAAACCACACTCCATGGTTAAATAATATGATGGAGTCAGTAAGAAAATTCTTCCCTACCGGAAAGGAAATTAAAGGCAACAGTGACTCAAATGCCCAGAGGGGACTCAGTAAAGGTTGCCAAAAGCCAGCAGGTTTCCAAAAACTGAAGGGAACCATAAAATGACTTTGCTGTATTTGCAGTTGTCCCAGGTTTCTTCAGGGATTCATTTAGATACAGTGTATGGAGTTCTTAGTTATTACTAAGTGCCACAAAAATTATGGAAATGAAATTCTTTTTCCTCGGTGGTTTTGGTTTTCCTGTTTAAAGCCTTCCCTGCAAATTAATTCTTCTCCAGTGAAAAATGACAGACAGTCTTTTCCATGAGAAGTCTCTCTGTGACTGGTACACTGTCTCACACATGAACAAGAATTCAAAAATACATCAGCACTTTACCCAATGATTTAGAGCTTTACAACATCAGTTACTTAAAATTAAAAGTATCAAGGTAAGATCCCTTTATTGTAGCAGGAAACTCCCATTGGAAATGGCTGTACTCACCATATTGAGTGACTGTGGCAGAAGTCTAAAGCAGAGATGATTTGTCGGAAGAACTTCCTGGCTTCTTTTGGTGTCAATCTTCCCTTTTTTACGAGATAGTCGAAGAGCTCCCCACCTGACACATGTTCTAGCACCAAATACCTAGAAAAACACAAAGTCAGGATTTTTTAAGTACAGGATCACACCAACCCCCTCACACTCACACAGTTATAGACAAACACTTCTGTTTATACATAGTCAAGGGGAGCACTTCCAGAAATAACAGTGGAAGAGAACCGGAATTTTAAAAACAGGAGTTATTAATATGTTTAACAGTGGTTCTGCAAACTTCAGACCTGCCATTGTTGGATTCAGTGTCCAATGGCATAGCAAGCTAATCAGGAAGCTAAAAATTACTCCAAAGACCAGGATGGGAAGCAGAGAATAATCAAGTATAAGCTTCTATAAAAGCTACAGTGGAGTAAGACTCTTGACCAAGAAGCCTCAGGTCCTTTAACCAAGCTGACAATTCTTTTATAAAACCGCTGCAGTGGCAAAGCTGCAGTCAGAACCAGACAGATGTCAACAAACCAGAATGAATTAAGAAAAGGTGAACAATGTACAATATTAAAAAAACAAACAAACAAACCAAAAATAACTAGGTGTGTGTGCAGTCTCTATAAAAGCTTAGCTTTTGCTGCTGAACAGCAGTGATTGGCTGGAGCAGCTGCTTGGCCTTGCAACTCACAGGTGAAAAATGTGGTACTGAGTGAATACATGTGGCACAAAGGGGGCCCAGGAGCAGGAGGGGAAACTCCTGACCTCATACAGCACTCCTGGCAGTCATAGAGTGAAGAGTGAAACCCTATGGAAGGAAAGGACTTGCCATGGATGGACCACCTTGCTGTTTTAAATAGGGCTAGTGAAAGGCAGCCAAGCAAAGGAGAACTGTATAAATCTCTGGAGATGTTGCCTAATAGTGGGAGTGACAGTTTTCCCAGGGAAGTGGCAGGAACACCATCAATGGAATCCTTTAAAAACAAACAAGTTGGAGTGTACTTCTCAGTCCCTGCCTCCCAACAGTGCAGCAGACCACACTGAACTGTATGTGCAGCATGATCTCTCAACCCTCTGCTTTACAGCATAATACTTTTACTACCAGAATTAATCAAACTCCTCAAATTTGAATAGACAATGAAGAATAATTAACCCAGGATACTGTCAAAATTTTCTGTACCTCAAGAAGCATAATCTCCAAGGAAATTTCTGAATTTGAAATGAAAAGTGGGGATGATTAATATAAATCAGGGGTCTTAATTAGCCCTGTTTTCAATGTTTCCAAAAAGCTAGGACAATAGAAGGACTGAAAGCAGTTGTGAGGAAAGTAAAGCTTGCTCAATGATAATGGCATTAGCCTTGAAGTTGCAAAAGTGGGACCTGAGCTCCTGGTCCATCATCATCATCTCCTGTGTAACTTCCATGTGTCAGCTCCCACCTAGCAGAAGGAGAAAGCACTTCCCTGCCTTACAGAAGGACAGATATTGGTATTGTCTTGCCAGCTAAATAAGTACAAAAAAATGGACAAAACCATAAAATCATAAACTTGAGGGAATTAAAATTGTACTTTTGCATTTTTTGATCAAAGTCAAAACAGTTACAAGAAACATAGTAATATTGACTTTTTAAAATTAAAATCAGTTAAAAAAGAGAAAAATCTTAACTTGAAAATCCCATTTGGAATGTGTGGGTTATCTTCTTTCCAAAAAGATGGGGAGTTGCCCAACTGTCTGCTGGGTACACCCTGGTAATTTGGAGAGCACTGTTTATAGACATGACATTTTTTGAGCAAGTCATTCAAACACAGAAGAAAGCTGATATGCAGCAGCCACAGGCACTGGGGTGTCCACACTGTAAGTCCTTGGTTCCCAAACCCCATCCTTGGTTCCTAAGCCTTGGCTAACAGACAGTCTAGTAAGAAGGTTTGCTGCAGAATTCATTCTCCCTCTCATATTAGAGACAGATCTGGCTAACTATCCAATATGGCAGACCCAATTCTAGCACAGAATCAATCCTAAAATTCTTAACAGCTTGTTGTCTCACTGTGCCCAGAAGAAGCTGGATACAGCAGTGCATTGTGCCCCCCAAATTCAAATTGCTGGCTGTTTCCTTTTTCTGGGAGATATCTTACAAAGATGATTGCAGTTACAGATACAGAACACCCTCCACACTGGCTTCAAACAAACAGTTTTTGAAAAATACAGACCCAGCATTTCTGTCACCCACAGCAGGAACTGTGAAGCAATTTATTTTCATCAACTTCATCTTATTAAAAACACTCAACAAAAATGCACTGACATGTTGTATGAAAAATAAAACAAATTGAAAGACAGGGAACATTTACAAGGTTATTCATTTTTTGCTTGCCACCTAGAAGCACTAGATATAATAATGGAAATGAACAGGGGAGAGCATTTGAAAAAGATTTGTGCCTATGACAAGTCAAGGGACACGGAGAAGCACGAGAGACGATGTATTCTGATCTGACAAAGCCCCCAACGTGACGTGAGAAGGACGACAAACACATTCCTCAGTGCTTGAGTGCAAGAAAGAAATGCTGCAGGGATCATTCCACAAGCACTATGTGGCTAAGCTGCAGCTAGGATTTGTGAGCTCAGGTTGTTATCTGCCAGCCCTATTCCCTCCAGTACCTTGTGCATTTTTCTAGGAGAGCCCCCAGCTAGGAGATTTTCTGGTAAACAAGGGCATAATTCAGCACCTGCCCCTATCTCTGTGCAAGCCAACATTCTGCTGGCACATGACATGGCACAGTAGTAGTACAATTGTTCTTTCCAAACAGGCCGACAAGAGGGGTTTAAACATTTCCAAGTGTTGCACTGGTTCTAAGCACCACTGGATAGCTACACAAGCCCCACTAAGTGCTGCATGACTGTATCTACCCATCTCTGTGTGTGTGAGTGTGTGCCTATAACTTCACAGGAGAAGAGAATAAACACTCTGAAAAGCCAAACAGAAAAAGCAAAGGAAAGGAAGAACGTTATTCCCTGGGTTGGAAAATAAGGCATACAGACACTACATCTTTCCTGAATCCATGGCACAGAAAAGAATCCAAATCTTCTGTGTTCACATCAGCATCTAAATTTCTTTACTTTGGCAAAGTGCTACAGGATTGGAAGTATGCTAATGCCAGCTCTTGGAGGATCTGGGAGAAGGTAAATAACATGTAGCCTGTAGGGAAGAAAAACACTGAGAAGCATTTTCATGAGTCTCCCTTTCCTTTTATCTTTCCCAGGTATGACAGGTTTTCACTTCATTATAGTACTACTTTTCCAATTTATTCTAAGCAAGCAAGCAAGTTCTGAAAATCCCAGAAGAGTAACCAGAACTTCTCTCCTATTACATTTAGAGATGAAAAGCAACTTATTGGTGAATGAAGTTTTGGGGGTTTTTTATTCTGTCTATGTAAGATTAACAGCATCAGTCTTTCTTCCCATAGTAAAAACATAAGACAAACTGTGAATACATGTGGCACCTCCTGAAACAACCATTGCAAGAAGGTTCAGGGAAAGGAGAGACCCAGTGTCTGGCAGGCAGTGTGCACACTACGTGCTGTGATGATACAGACAAGAGCCATGTTAGGACAAAAGACTCTTCAAGAGCACCTAGCTCTCACATATTGGATGCTCTGGACACACCCTAACCCTTCCAATCCTTGCATTTCACATGAGAGAAACAAGTTTTGACAAGTGTTGACCTCCTTTTCTTTACTGATAGGGAACTGTGAAGCCAAGTAACTTGTCCAGGGTACAGTCACCCAGTATCAGAGCTGGGATTAGCACCTCTGGTCCCTTGTGCCTTCTACTCCATGCTATCCCCCAATTTCCCCTTTGCCTGTGAGGACTCTGAAAAAGCCAGAAAACAGCAGGGTTCTGCAACTCAATATGAAGGCAAGTGTATGTTAAAAATAAAGTCTCAATTACTTTTTCCTCACTGGATATATTCTCTAGGAGATTCCAAATATTCTCACAGGCTGCAGCTCGCTTTCGTACACACTAAGGTTTGCATCTTGCATTATTTTCTCATGTCCCTGCTACAAGCCAAGACATGAAACTAAAAATCTCTAGTTGAGTTTCAAAGCTTGAAGGAGAAAAGAGTTTCCTTTTTAAAAGCAAAGAAGCTGAATACTAAATACAAGAATAATTGTGTTGATTGGAGATGAGCAGAGAGATTGCATCCAGCAGTATCTCATCCCTTTTACCATCTTTCCATCTGCATCCCATCATCTCCACCTTTCAATAAAAGATTCTGAGTTCCTAACCTCAAATGACCCATTACAAATCATCAGAGATGCAAGCTTAGAATAATCCTAGGCTTTTTTCTTTCTTTCTTTTTGGTTCATTTTATTTATTCTTTCAGGAGCCAAAATAGTACATCATCAGTTCTCATCAGCTCCTTTCTGAAGGCTGGTTTTTGCTGTGATGCTTGACAGCAGCTTGGACTTCCCATTCCCAGCAGTTGCTTTGTGTGTGGGATTGTAAACTGGTACTGTCCCATTCTTATCCAGTGCCAGCACAGCAAGGATTTCTCCATGATTAGATAGGTTGCTGTTGCACTACAGTCCTATCACTTAAAACATAAAAAAGGACACTTTTTGTGGTTATTTCTCCTTTCCATCTGGTGGACTGTGCCACAACTTCTTAAGAGGTGCCTTTGCCCTCTTGAGGAGGGAGCTTGGAGGAATAACTCAGAGAGCCCTCACTAGCCAGGCAGCTACATGCTACCTCCAAATCAGGATTGTAACTAAAGAAACAGGCTGGCTCTGAGCAATGCCAGGAAAAATGCTGGTAAAGAAAGACTTACTGGCACAGAGAACACCAGGACCATGTACTACCAGATATTTCTGGCAAAATAACAACAAAAAACCCAAATGAAAACAAACACATCAGTTATGATCTGTAAAGAATCATAACTAAATTTTGTTACTTTTAGCCAGTAGCAAAAATGGTGTGAAATGCTAAAATTCTTGCCAGATGGGATTGCCTGCAGCAGCCCATTAGTGGGGTATGCAGCTCTTGTTTTCTCAGGACAATTTACAAGATACTAACAGCTATACCAATTATGTATTTATTATTATAAAAGTGTTA